CAGCGAGAGCCGCTTGCTGTTCTGACACCGTTCTCAGGAGTAATGGTAACCTTCGGAGGTCCAGCCGCGCCTCCAGTGTGGGCTTCTTTGCCACTCCGGATGAACAGTTGAATCCCGTAACCCGTAGAGTACCATCCGGCCTTAACCATTCATGGAATAAGCGGAGACGATTGGATCCTCCGATATCTCTTTCTTACCTTCTACGTCTGGCTGCAGGAGACCGATGGAGGAATACACTTTCCGTCTACGCCTAGCGTTATTTGAGATAAAGGAAGGAAGGGCGGGCACAGCGACCACGGAGATGGCCCCACTGAAGGATATGCCAATTGTACAAACTCAGCTTCTTTATCTTACGGCCCAAAAAAAGTTTAGTAAGTGACATCCTCCGCTCAATGGTTAATCAACGAACGGGGTTAGCCGAAGAAGTACTTCCCGACATCCGCACGGTTCACATCAACGGTCCATAATCCGCACGATTGCCAGGACGATTGTAAGTTCAAGTATCTAGACCATGGTAGTGTTACCGTCTCACAGGCGTTAGCTGAATACATACATCGGATGGAAGTATGTACTCCTGCCATGGCTAATCTGTACCTCGACCATTTCCACTTCTTCTTCCCCGAGCCTTTCAAGTCTACTTCACTGAACCATATCAATTCACACCCTGCACCTACTGATGCAGAAGAACAAGCTAACAGGCACTAGCCCTCCGGCCGAGATAAAAGGTTTGTCCCCTCACACAACATGTATTTGGGCGTACTGACATGGTCAACTTCAGGCTCGAGGGCACCGTCTAGAAAACCGAAAACGTACTCGCGTGGGTGTGACACCAGATCACGGTTTTAACGAGCCTTTGAGAAAGCGCAACATGAATCTCAGAGGCTCGAGCCGGCATTGTGGTCACAGAATCATGCAGGGTCGATGTGGGTTCTGCCGCAGACACTTCGAGAACTCAGCAACCTACGACAGCTTTGTCGACTTCAATCCAACGCTCTGGTCCGAGCTAGACGACTGGCCGAGAGTGGGCGGAATAGACCTCTGACAGAGTCAATGGATAATATGGAGGCGCCCAAATGTGACCGGTGTGAAACAAGGGCAATGGGCGTGGTTCTCGCTCCGTGTTTCCATAGCTTATGTCCGGGTTGTGGTGGGACTGGACCACCAGGCGCTTCGGATGTTATGTTTCAAACCTGCCCGGTGTGCTCTCTTTCTGGTTTCCAACAGCCCAGAAGGACTTAGGCGTATTAGCTACTGCTATTCGGGCCGCCGTGTTGACCGGAAGTGACATTCCCTTGCGGAAAGCGATGCTTACGGGCGTGAAGGCGAGGGGACGAAAGATGAGAAAGATGAATAAGGGAGGATTATCATGATACTTTGGTAGCAAGTTGGGAATTTTATTGTTATAGTTTAGGAATTGAATGTGCTCTTCCTTGCATGTTCTTCGAAATCCGTGAACCATAAAAAGCTTTCACATTAGCTGAGAGAAAAGATGCAGAGAATGAGGTATTGTGATAGGTAGAAATACTGGGTTCCACATTGCTCAGGAACAAGAGAAATCGGCAGTATTTGATCTGACATAGCGAGGGATTTTCAATGGAGGGCTGGGAAATTCATTAAGATATTAAGTGGTCTCCCCGTTATGTTTTGCGGCCAACTCACCGGAAAGCTTTCCGATCGCCGCTGTACAACTGCCTTTTCGCTGATCAGCCCCCGTGCATTGCAACTTGAAGCGCATCACATTCTGTAAGAGGGGCAAAAGAAAAAAGGAACAAGGAGCGGAAGATCTAGCTCCTTAATGTACGTAATGTTCCCGGATGATCTCCCTGGCCAGCGGCAGGAGAGTTCGTCGGTGCCCTGGTGGGCCCGCACCGGGTGGCAATCATACTTGACTAACAGATGGATAGGAGATGTTCCATAAATGTGGACATGGCCTTTTATTGCTAAACAACTCATCGTGGAAAACCGATGGCGGGCGATAAGCAGTATCTGAGACAATCGTCATGACTGGTCGGTTGCGAGACCGGGTGGAACCTATCATACGAACATACTACGATGGGGTCGCCAAGAACCATTGTCGAAAGCACTCTGCCGTCCCCTGGGCCGCTGCTACTGTAGCATGGAAGTGCAAAGCACCAATATAAAGAGATGGGGCCACATGCGAGTCGGGCGACGGCCCCGCTGTAGGCTGGAGAGCCATCCTGTCCGTAAAAGATGCAACCTTGAAATCTCGAGCAGCTCAAAAGACAGATGAGCCCAGCACCAACGTCACTGACGTCTCTCTCCCCTACAGGAGCAGGCCTGACGACATTGAGCGACAGTGTTGGCCACAGTCAGATTTCATCTGTCTACCATTGCATTGATACCTTTTGCAATTTTTCCTCCCCACGCCAGCAGAACCATGGGGTCCGAACTGGGGGTCACTGCCGCATCCATGCCCCAGCCAGCCTATACTCCGGTCAGTATTTGGTGGACGTGCTGGGCGGCCACCTGGACGGTTATTGTTGCGTCTGGCATGGCCTATCTCATCGCCCATCGCAGCACACCCCCACTCCTGCTGCGAGGCCTCGGGCTGTCGCTATCCGCCGTTGTTGTGCTTCATGTCTATTGGGCTTCCGTGCAGTTCGGAACCATGATTGGCACCATCATGCCCGGAGATGCCGAGTACTGGATCATGGGTACCTATCTACCGTGTGGCATTGCCCTGTTCCACGCGTCGAACAGTCGCTTCTACCACGTGGCAAAGCTTCAGGAGGACTATGTCATTCGTAGTTGTGGCGGGATTGATTTATCCTCCACCTCGAGGGGCAAGCTCGGTGCCGTAGACCGGTTTCGTCGCCTTGCATACACTACCAAGATCCTTGTGCTTGTTACGGTGGCGTCGCTCGCTCAGGTAAAACGGCCACCGCCTACCCCTATTGATTATCGTATCGGTGTCTAATTGAATCATTAGGTGTTCCTCACGGTCTTGATGTGGCTCATCTCTCGCAAATGGCACCGCACTTGGGGGATTCCAGGCACCGAGGTCCATGGAACCGAGATGCAGCAAAAGTCGGAAATGGGCCGGGGCTGGGAGTGGTAAGAAGGCCTCCGACATACGCCCGGCGCATATACGACGAGAAGTGCGTGCTAACCGATATGCAGGTGGCCTGGCGTGTTCGGACAGTTCTTCTGGTCCTGGATTGTGGGCCCCGTCGTTCTCTGGAAATCCCGCCACATCCACGACACCCACGGCTGGCGAGTCCAGACAATGGGCTGCGTCATCGCCAAGTGAGTCAATCGGTCTGATGAGGTCTGTCGTACGACTAACCCGTCCTGTAGTCTCCCGGCGACGCCGATGTGGCTCATCGCCCTCTATGTCCCCGCCATGGAGCGAGTCAATCAGTACTGGCTACCGCCCCAGTGGTAGGTGCTCCGAGCCGTGACCAACAGGAACATAGAAATAAAGATGGAAAGAAGCACGAAAATGTGGCTGACACCTGTAGGATTTGTCTCTCTATCTGGGTGATGGAGGTTTTTGCTGTTCTCCTGCCGTGCCGGGAGGTAATGCGCTATCACGCTATCCGACAAGGGGCCTTCGATTCGATCGCACGGTGGGAACCAAATACCAATCCCTTTGCCGGTGGCACCATGGCCCGCAGGTCCGCCTCCATTCTCGTCGAGCTCACAGGGTCTGGCCGGGAATCATGGAGTAGATCTCTTGGCTCCAGCTCCAGCTCTCGGGACAGCATATTCACTAAGCGTGCGCTTGAATGTGTCTTGGCGCGCAATCCCGCCCCGCTGCAGGATTTTTCCGCCCATCGCGATTTCTCCGGAGAGAATATAGCTTTTCTGACCCGAGTGGCAGAATGGAAGAGCTCGCTGCCCCATGCGGTCTGGAATAGCAGGATCTCAGACTATGGAGACCTTACCGACTTGATTCGGGAGCAGTTTCACCGCGCGCTGTGTATTTACACGACGTTCATCAGTGATCGCCATGCGCACTTTCCGATCAACATCTCTTCGCAGGACCGGAAGGAGCTGGAGAAGGTCTTCGCGGGCCCTGCTGGGCTTCTCTTCGGGGACGGGCGCCCGGCCAATCCCGCCGTTCCCTTCGATGCGCCAGGGTATGCCCCCACACCCGTAGCGTCTCCGATCGCCTCCATGAAGGCCGAAGCTGGTTCGCTAGTCGCCGACAACGGCCCAGTGCAATCCTGGGGCGAGATTCCCCAGACATTCAGTGCGACAGTCTTTGACCGAGCCGAGGAGAGCATCAAGTACCTCGTCCTGACCAACACGTGGCCTAAGTTTGTTCGAAGTTGCGGCATCGCAGCTGAGGTTGATTTGCTGGCGGGGAGCTAGAGTCCCGCGTAGCTGGTTCCGGAACGAGGTCGCCAGCGATGGAAGGTTGGACTGCATGGCATCTGTCCGGGATGTTGACAAAATTCTATAGATTAATATGGCGGAGCAACTCATCAGATCAAATATCCTGTCGGACCGTAGCACTGTCTTGTTACTATAGAGGAGTCGAGCAGTAGTGTCGAAGACCATCCGGTCAGAAGCCCAGCCATACGGTATGGTATGGACAATATCCCCCAGCGGGCAAATGATGGACCGACTTTTGCCTCACGATCATGTTAAACATATGTACGAGCATGGTCATGGAAATACCATCGTAGGGGTGGGCAAAGCTGCGTGATTGACCTACGTGCTCCATTTCTTGCCGGTCAGGTACGAAACCATCCGGCGAAAGTTGGGAACTCTGGTGGGCGACATCGATGGTTCCTAAAACCCAAGAGCCGTTATCTAGGCCATGGCACCCCGTTCTTGGTTCGTGGCTTCCCTATATATTTTGAGGGGAAGAGAGTAAACAATCATTGGATTGCTTGCCCACCACCCCTCGATAATGTTTAGTGCGTCAGTCTTCGAATTCGAACTGTATGTATTTGAGCAATGTACGGGACGATCCTGTCCGCCATTCATCAGCTACCCAAAATCATCATTCTTCCATCCAAAGCATCTTTCCATATCTGTCTTCCATCCATCTGTCTCTTCACAAACTGGCTGACAACCTTTATACCTGCCAGATGGATGATGATGTTAAAAACCTACCGGTGGAGCCAATGCCGAAATCATCGGCTCAGCCACTACCGACGAGTCTGCCGTTTCCCGCTCAACACCGCATTCTACGGGTACTGCAACAGCGCTTGGAGCGCTCTGCGTTCGAGTCTATCCAGAAATGGCACCGCCAACTCGGCCAGGCTAACGGATGGGATTGTGCCGAGAAGGTAGAATTGCACATGGCGTTCAGAGCGCTGGACCGAAAACGCCGTTCCCATTCCATATCTGGGTCTACGAGAATCCCAAAGAAGGCGGTTGATCGGTTGCGAGCCGACGTTGTGGGCATCCGCCACGCAGCCGTGCACCGTCAGCTACAGGATCATCGTCGTCTTCTACAGCAACTGCACTCGGCCCGAGAGTTTGCAACCGTATGGCTGGGCGATCCGCAGTGTGGGAGGGAGATCGAGCAGTGTCACGTGCGGATCAACCGTCTATTCAGCGCATGGAAGGCACGCACCCATCGTCTGCAAGGCAATCTGGCTGCGCGCATGGGACGCAACAGTATGCCTGAGCACCAACGTCACCAATGCCTCCTGCTTGAGGCGATGCGAAGGCTCTGGGAAAGGATCAATCGCGATTGTGTTGGGCAAGCGGACTACATCCTACAAGTGAGCTTTCCGTCATTGTATACAAAGACGTGAGCAGCGCATGCATGACATGGGAAATGGGCATATTAGCTTGAATACAAAGAAGACAGGCGCGAGAATCCAAGCTGTGAATTAACCACGGGTTGTGTTACTCCTATGCTAACACAAGTCAGCCCCGCAAGGATGAAGATGTCTGTTTGTTGCAATTTTTGCCCTCCAATTGACTCCTGATTCCTCCAGCCACTTGACGCAGAAGGTGAGAGGGAGCTTCTTGCATCATGGATTGGCGTTTTCTTTGGATCATGGGTGATATATGTCTGGAGGTATCATTAGTGACCATCGCAGTAAGCAGTGGAGGATCTGGTACATACCCATGTTTCGTCGGGCGCACCAGGGCACGGCTGTGGAAGTCACATAGCAGATTTTCCGTCACGCTTTTTGAGGCGAGATTCCCTGGCGGTCAAATCGGTAATGCCTTGAAGTAGATGCAGCTCTGTGTGTGCGATCTCACGCCACTTTAGATCGACGTCGTGTGGGCAGGGATGCCCGTTGTCTAACAACCCAATGCATCTTTCACGATGGAGAGGATCGTAATACAAGGAAACGCGTCCAAAACTAGCCATGGCCAATTGGTAAACGTGAGTTTGAGAAGAAGATAGGGACAGACTGGCGAGACTGTAGGAAAGTGGTAATTTGTGCGAAATATCCGGGATGGCGCCGGGCCTAGATATAGGTCTGATATTGGTGAAAGAATTTTTTCACTTCCTTACCTGCAGCGCGAATTGCGCGCGAATTGCTGTTCAAAGAGCTGCATAGTCCCCTCATGTCTATATGATGACCCGCGAAGACGGAAAACAATCATGCGAATGTGGAACGTCGTAGGAAAGCGGTGGTTGTTCCTCGGAGCAATCGTCACTATCCTAGGAACGAGCTTGTCGGTCATAGGAGCCATCGACTTCCGAGGGCCCCTAGCCTAAAGCTTGGAAATTCCTGGTGGCGTGTGTAGCTTAACCGCACTCTCGTCGGTAGCAAAATCGGTTGCCCACCGAACGATTACCGGACGAACCAGGCTTCCTCACGCGCCACTATCACCATGGTGCCCCGACGCTTCCTGTACATGGTTGACTGAGCGCCATCGGAGCGAGGATAGCTCTGCTAGTACTGACGTTTGCCGGTCGTCGGTTCGCCCATGTACAGCCGGCGCGTCTGGCCATGCGGCGGAACAGCGGGTCGACCTGTTGAGATAAGTGATAGTGAGGTTGATTCGTGTTGATTGACTTAGGGAGTTTTCTTTTACAGGGACAGGATGCCTGATATATATTTTCCAATTCCTACGACAAACTGAGGTCCACCTTTAGGCAAGGCGCGTGCGCCTCAGAATATGGAACCGGTGCTCAGTGACTTGAGGGTACAGTAAGGTCTAGTGAATGGCCTCAATTGCTTTCTTCGTTGGACCACTGAGCTGCACATACCGGACTACCTCTTCGAATGAAAATGGATGGCACAAATGTAATGGTTTGGAGCCACTTCCGACTCGGGGACATATATAAGGCCCGAACCCCCATCCGAACCAAATCGTCAACCATGGCATGGCTGGACCTCACGCAAGACGCCACGGGCTGGTCCCTGGTCGACACGGGGCGGATGAACGAGATCGTGCAGGACATGAGTCATCCGGCCACGCAGTATCCTTCCCTGATTTCCTTCGTCGGCAACGATAATCGCATGCTGGCTCTACGCTCGCTTTTCCCCCAGAATAACGTTCTTCGCAGAAGCTCAGCGGGAGTAATCCGACTACACCTCTGCATCACTACCGCCCACACCGAATATCCGATCTGGTTCGCAGAGAGCAGGCTCCAGGGTCTACCAGTAGTCGGTGAATGCTCCAAGCCCCCAGGGAAAGATGGCGTTCGTCAATATTCCGTCAACAGGACTCAATTTCCTACCACCGATGTGAAGGGTTCACTTCTGACGAGACTGGTGTTCCCGTGGATGCATGTCGTCTGTTTCTTTGTGGATGGGCTGGCGGGATTGGAGAAAACCAAGAGCCTGCTGGAAGCGTCACGAAGTCGGATACAGGCCGGGGCCTCTTCCGCCCCAGCTCGTATGCGCGTGATTGTGGTTCTCACAAAACCAACCGCCGTCTACGAAACAGACCCTGTGGAGGTGCTCCAGGCCGTTCGGAGCGTCACGGACCCGGATCATGTATCATTGTCGGTGGTCGACCTTCGAGGCCGCCATCGGCTTTCAGGTCCAGCATTATTCGCTCCGTTGCAACGTCAGGTTCTTGATGAGCTCCAGCTCAGCCGGACTGAGCGACTTCAGCGGGGGTTGCTCTTCTCGGCAGTCCACCAGGCCTTCCTTTGGCACCGTTCACTTCCAGGGTTACTCCACTCCGCTGCTCGCCGGGTGGATGGTCTCCTTCTCTCTCGGGAGAGGCTGCCTATCAGTGGAGCATTCAGCGAATGTTTGGCGGAACTCCTGGCGCAGTCACGCACGCTGAAGTGTCCGATCCAAGAACTCTATTCATTCATGGCGTCCGCTCTGTTGATGGACGCCTATCCTCCTGGAATGCACCGTAAGTAGGGCTAGTCCAGGACTGCTTCACCACCATGGGCCCCGCACTGACAGAAACAGAGTTCCGACCGGACCATGTCTTTGATACGTTGTACCGAGATCTCTGCGATAGCGCTTGGAGAACCGTGGGAGATCCCGATGGCAGCGGACGCAGTGACGCCATCCGTAGTTATTTCGCTGAACAGTTCCGCCGTCTCAGCCCGGTGCACACCTCACGCGCTATCCGACAGGACGAACTGATTCGCTTCGGTCGGCGGTGGCCTGCCCTGACCTTACCCACGGCGTGTGTCTTCTGTCTTGGCCGATGGGCCGAGCATCAGACCCCTTGTCGACATGGTATATGTGATCCCTGCGTGACGATGTTTGGCCAGCGGGCCCGCGGCGTGGAATACCACCGAGACCTTGCCCAGTGTCCCCTGTGTCAGGGCGCTCTTCAGCTGACGGTCCGTCAACTACCACCGACCAAGCGCCCAGTCGTGCTGGCTCTCGATGGCGGCGGGATTCGGGGAATGGTCACCTTAGGCCTTTTGCGAGCGCTGGAGCAACGGCTTGCCGGCGCCATCACGCTGCCGGAGATCCCAGATCTAACCGCGGGCACCAGTGTTGGTAAGTCGCACCCTCTTTTGCCGTCATGGGCGGTCTGTCTGGTTTGGATGCAAAAATCTCCAGCATGGTGACTAACTCGCCGAGAGCAGGTTCCGTTATCGGGACCGATCAGGTCTACAACAACACCTCGGCCGCAGAAGCATGTCGAAGATTTCCCGACTTGGCACAATGCATATTCCAGCCTGCCTACTCCCTTTCCCGAATATGGCCTTGGTTGGGCTGCATCCTGAATCTCATTCGAGATGCTGCCTACGACTCAGGTGCGTTAGAGCGAACGCTCCAACAGGTCTGTCAGCAGGGGCGTCGGGTGTTTGATGTGATGCCGCCATTGGCGGCAGGACGTCGTCTCGCCATCGTTGCAAGCCGTATCTCTGACGGAAGGCCGGTTGTCTTCCCCAATTACCGTGGAGTGAGGCACGGATCTGTTGACTTGGCGTACCAAAGGATCGTCCCGCACGGCGAGAGCCAGAATCCGTTGTTACGGAAAACGTGAGTTGTTCTCGAGCTTATGTAGAGAGTTATTGTTCACGAAACTGACAAGAGTAGCCTAGAATGCAGTGCCGCAGCTCCCTGGTAGGAGATCATCCCCATTACGCAGCAGTTTGTCCCGGCTGACCCGACATAGGTTTTTCCGATCCAAGCACCTGCCCGGGATCGGCGTTCTGCAGGATGGAGGGGTCCGGGCGAATAACCCGCACGGGATTGCACAGGAGGAATGTCGAATTATCTGGCCATCCGCGCAGGCACACGACCTCCTGGTATCCGTGGGCACGGGATACGTCCCACCGGCCGAGGAGGCAACCGATCCGGCCCAGCATGGTTGCAGCTCCCTACAAGACAAGGCGCCCTTCCGATTGTGGCGCGCGTACAACTCCTCCCCCTGCATGGACGGCGTAGAAGCCTTCAAAGAGGGACTAAATCATGTACCCCATCCCCTCCGGACCCGTATCTTCCGGCTGGACCACGCTCTGGCGGATCTACCACGACTGGACGATGTGATGAGGGTCGCAGAACTCGCCAAGGAGCCGTACACGGTCCCAGACGAACTCGTGCGAGCAGTGCTCGCCACGTGCTTCTTCTTTGAATTAGACGAAGGTCCGACGAGGGTACCGGGCCAATACCTTTGCCGGGGATCGGTCCTATGTGCGCGCCGCGAGCCACGGCGGATTCTCGAGCGCGTGTTGGTGGAATTTCCGGGCGCAGAGCTGCAGACCGGCCGCGGGAAGCACTTGGGTCGGTCGGACGATGATGATGGATGTATGGTCTGTGGATACTACCGCAAAAAGTTTCGGTTCCACGTGGCCAGTCTGGATGAAGAAATATCGATCATGCTCAAGGGGTCGTCGGGCCAGCAGCCAATCGGCGGGTTTCCAGCCACTGTTCGACAGCTTCTCCACCAGCAGCAATCGGACGCTGTATTTGGGCGATCCGATCACCAAAGCGACCAGTGGCCGCCGCAGAGGATGTGTTATTGTCCGCGAGGTGTTAAACGGGTTCGTTTCGTCGAGCCATCCCCGTCCCGGAAGAAACGAAGGGCGTAGAGCAGCGACCACAACTCGCAGTGGTTAGTCACGGTCTTAGTTTACACCATCCTTTCTACTATGCATTACCGTGTATAGGAGAATGCGATGGATGAAAGAAACAGGCTCATACTATTGTACAGTTGGATGGATGGATGGATTATATTGTTTATCCTGACCCCCTGCAAAATGAATCGATATGCGGATTACCTACAACTATGTCATACCCGTTGTGTCTACTTGGTATTTCAGGAATGTTGTTGATCTAGGCGTGTTTCACTTGAAGTCTAAAATATCGCTGAAATAAGGTGCGAAAGACAAAGAAAAATCATATTGATGGGATAGTGCTTTTGCCGGCAAAGATCGCATTGCTGAGCCCGTCCAGCATGAGCTGGCCCAGTAGTGACCAACCAACTATACGTCTGTAAGTAGTTCATCATAGGTTGGAAGGCTGAGGGCGAATGATATAGCCGACTAGCTCAGCCCTCCAACCAACTCCAACGCTGCCTCTCCAGCCTCCCAGGAATACCACAGCACTAGGTACTCATTGGAGGAACTACCATCAGAGACCACCTTCCGCTTGGCAATCACTCGAATCGGGTTTATCCGGCCTTTCGGTGTGTTCTAATCCAGTCTCAGAAACTCGTCGATCACCAGCAAATGGATAGGGAGCGTCTCAGGCGCTTGTGCCACTTATCACCTACGGGAATGTAATCCTCGCTCTCTTCCTCAAGTTCATCGCCATGGTCTGACAGAGTCTCCGAGTCGGACACGATAAAGTCACGGTCTTCAGTGTTTTCAGAAAGAAGAGGACTATCGGTCGACCAGGAATCTTCGTGTTCCAAACCGCTGCATAGGGCAGAAGTCATCTTCTCCAATAGCACGCCGGCCTCCAGAGGAATGTACTGGATCCAGGATGGTACAGTGGTCACCCGCAAAGGAATGAGCTTCCGGTTTGTTGGTAGTTATGTGGGAAACAGTGAGAGGTTTCTAGTTATTTGTAGATACCGTGCCAGTTTTAAAGCACTCGCCCCCTAAAACAGCGTCGATGCCGGCACAAGGCTCATATATTTCCCAAGGGCTTCGTGCTAGGATTTCACGGGCAGCCGGATTGGGTGTCAACTGCTGTGGTGATGAATAGCTCAGCCCAGAAGTGGCACGACTGAACGTCTGGTCGCTTGGGACACGATGCGAGGCATTGCTCGGAGGTTCATGTTGCGTAGAGACCACAGGCGGCCGCATTCCCCCAAACCAAACGGTGCCACGAACGTCTCTTTTCGCGGCTGGCATGACTGGCCCAAGTGGAAGTCAGAGATACAAGCGCCTGTTCTTGTGTCCAGATACTTTTTGAGATGACCTCCCACGTCGCTGAGGAGTATGCTCTCTGATTCTGTATGGTAGACAATGTAAGGAAGATGGTGCAATTATATGGTCTACCTACAGCCGCCACGGGCATTCCTTTTGTTAAAAGTACGATATGTTCCAATGATCACAAAAGCTAACACAACAAGGCCACGTGAACGAAGAACTTTCTGACAGTTGGGGGGGGGGGGGGGGCGGAAATCGTGAAGGATGGCCGGAACCTGATCGCTACCTCGGGGAAAGTGTACCGCATTTCTAAGAACGGACATGCCGGCCCTCGAGAAGCCCGGCCTTGGTTTGCTCGGGATCAAAGGCTTGCTAGTTCACCGGATTAACCAACAGCTTGTAGAGTATGACCTGGGGTCTTGGGTTGGTCATGGGAGCTTGCAGGTCGGCTAGTTTGGCCGATGAGGATGGTGCGCATACAGTCATGACCATGGCAAGAAGCATAACTAAATCCGGGGGGTAGAATTTTGTATATTTTCACCAGCTGCTGTCCTGGATGGAGTGGGCCAAAGAATAATCAAGAAAGAAGCTCATATATGTTGCCCAATTGTTCTTTGGCAGATGCGCAATGTACACCGTCTATCATTTTAGAAAGGCCTTGTTGCGTGAGATGTGATCAGTATGTCCACCTTTTTTGCACTCTGCTCAATTTGGTCGACATCCCGATATCCCATTTTGGTAGGGTTGGATTGGAAATAGGTTTTGTTGTTGGGGCTAAATGCTGCTGGCGAAATGATTTCCCATTGGTCATATTCGGCCGGAAAAATTGATGCCCAGCAAGGCCATGCTCGACAGTGGATCATTTGCAACTGGAGGTATCGGAGGCTGAGCATATTATCAACCTGCTGACCTGGCTTTGATGAGCGATCCCTTAGAGTGGGCAATATATTCAACCTTGGCGCGCCTGTTGATTTTGTATGAGTTTCGTGGAGTTACGAAAAGCCGGTTGTGCCGGACACCCTGGAGTAGCTAGTGTTGATTGTGTTATATATATATCATTGACCACTCATGTACGGAAATTATAGACCGTTGATGCGCATGATTACAATTGCGAGCGACGAGGCTCACATTTGTAGTAGCCTAGGGTAAAAGTATATACAAATTCAGTATACCCATGTGTTGGTCTCTTTGCTTTACGCCCTCAGCCCAGAGGTCGAAATCCGAGGACATGATATTTCTTCGGTGACGCATTCGGATTCCCAGGCGGGCTTCAAATTGAACCCCTGGACAGTTTCCTCATAAGGACTAGTCCCGGGCCTTCCCGAGCCCCAGCAAATGTTGATGGCCCAAGGCAACAACAAACGACTAGAGAAGCCGACCAGAGGGCGGTGAAAAGACGTGCTCGCCTAGCTCTGAACGGGTTAACGCCCCAGCAGATCCCCTTAGCACACGCGCGTTCCCAAAACGGCAAAAAAAAAAAAAAAAAAAAAAAAAAAAAAAATTTAAAAAATTTAAAAAAACGCTATGGCAACTTACTCGACCATGTCTACTCGGTGAGTTACTAGGTGGATTCTTTCACCACTTCCGCTATCTTTTCACCGTAATTTCACCATTCTGTGCCTGTTTACCTCATCTCCCCCCATCCCTTTATTTTCTCCCTTTGCCTTTTCCTCTTTCACTTCTTTACTTGTTTTTCGCACCCGCCTCATTTGCCCTACCCCTGGTCCGCAGGTTACCCAGCTCCCCACTGGGTCTCCCATCGACCGCGATCAGGGACCTCAAAAGGCGATCATCACATTTCGAAAGACGCATGATCACGTCCGGCCTGGTCAAATCCTCAGCATAAAGTCGAATCATGCTGCGCCAAGGTCAAAGCAGGATCGGGGGATCCAAGTTATGATGCGCGGCGAGAAGCCGTCCGAATGACTGGGCATTTTGTGTGTACAGTAACAAGTTGACCAGCGAGCGCCAGTGAGCATCAGCAAGCGCAAGCGGGGAATACTGCGTCAGCCGAACACAGCACGACCCTACTTACACTATAATAGAACTCACAACGAGAGCTAGATCGGTAGTCTTGTCGGATGATTTGCCCCGTTTCCGAGCCACCGGGCTCCCGGTCCCCATATTGCGGGTTTGCCCAGGTCTCGCTGGGCTGCCTCATTGTTGCGAGATCTGGTCCCCACGCAGTGGCAAAACGGGCAATGTCCGAGGGCCTGTCATGTGTGACCCGTCACCAAGGTCGGTATCTGTCGAGCGGACCATAACCCGAACGCGTCTGAACGCCGAGTACATTATAGGTCAAGCGAACGGTTTGACCAGACATACGCGAACTCCCAGTTTTCTTGCCCGAAGCGTACCGGGGGAGTTACCCAGGACTCGCGGCGTCATTCATCCTTTGCGTCACTGTTCAGGCACAGGTATATTAAATATGGGGTCTATTGTCACTGTTAATACATTGTACCACAAACAATTAAGCGAAGTATTGTACATGACTAGCAGCGGGCATGGTCTCGACGTCCGTTCCGCCCTTGTGATGTACGATGTTGCACCTATGCTGGTAAGAACCGCGGTATGGCGCGAGCAGACCTTGGCTTCCTTGCGTCATGACGAGTGGATATATTCTGGCAAATACTAGTTCCCAGCACCGCGTGGTGATGGCTACTCTTAGCTGAAGGCCTTGGAAGGTTGTTCCAAAGACAGAAGGTCACATCCAACTAGGAGGGACCATGGCACAGGGAATACGACATGGGGCCCATGGTCATGAAGGGAGTCATACGACACAGGCTCGCCATTTCTGTGAAGGTGCACACTATTTCGCTTGCAAATTCGAGAGAGTCAGCCTTCTGGATTACTCTACGGAGGGATAAAGCCCAAAGAAAGGGTCACATCTCCGTCTTGAGGTGTTGAACCGCTGAACGTCTCCATGCGATCAGGCCGACCAGAACCGGCCGTCATGATAAACAGAGGTTACTGTGTTCTCAGGAGGGCATATCACACAGTCATCGAGGGCCTGCCCGTTGGGGGAACAGAAAGAGTTGTCGCTGTGGTTTGCCTTGGTGGATACTGCTCTATAGAGGGCCAAGCGGTTGTGCTTGTAGCGATGGAATTGCCCAACTCTGCACTCTGAGTTTAAACACTCGTGCTATGAATTGTCATGCTGCTTTCAACTATGATAGTCCGTGCCATTACATCATCTTGAGCCACTGCTAGGACTACAATAGCGGTGATAGATGTACACTTCGTACTTGACTTCAGTGCTGGGTATTCATGAACTAGTCACAAGCCGAAGAATTCATTCCTCTTGGGACCGTATGACGTGACACAGTTATAGCCGGTCCTCAGAGTAAGGTCCGAGCCCGAGCCTAAGAACACAACATGAAGCCTGGACATCTGCCACAAGCATATGGTATGTGGTGGGAATAACCTGCTAGAGCATCATGTGTCGAGCAAAAAGGCCGGAATTCGTCGTAAATACTTTCAATATGCTGGTGTGCAATTTGGACGCGATGCAGAGAACATTGGGATTAGGCCAGCCCCCCGGTAGATCTAGCCAGGATCATCCATGCGGCACTGGAAGTATAGTGAACCAATATGCAGCGCGAGCTGTGGTTGTTGACTGCAGGACACAACACACGGGGCAGATTAGGTTCTTTCTGCTTGCATATCATGGGCTCCCCCCTGGCTATCTGCCTGACGAGGAGTGACTTCTGGCGATGGAGCGAGTGACCTTCAACTGCGGTCCTTTTCAGCTTGGTCTGGAGGTGGGGTCGTCTGGAGTTCTGGCGCCGGTCTCTGCTGCGCTGAGCTATGTGGACCACTTTCGGTCACCGCGGCATGTAGTCGCAGTCCCAGGTATCGTGTCCGACAAAAGCAGTTGCGAGGCTTCATAGTGCCTACCGCCCACCGCCGAGCGCGTAGATGTTTTGATTCAAAAGGGAGACTGTGCTCCCCAGGGTAGTGCATAATGAGAAGTTTCACACGATCCTTACTGTCAATAGCCTTTATATACCGCGGAAACTATGAGCGCTCGAGCGAAAAAGCCGTACCCATTCCTCATCTAAGACTTCGATAATCCCAAAGAAGGGGCTTAATCGGTTGCGAGCTGACATTGAGGGCATCCGTCACGCAGCCGTGCATCGCCAGCTACAGGATCATCGTCGTCTGCTACAGCAGCTTCACTCGGCCCGAGTGTTTGCAACCGTATGGCTGGGCGACCCGCAGTGTGGAATGGAGATCGAGCAGTGTGAAATGCGGATCAACCGGCTTTTCAGTGGATGGAAGGCACGCACCCGCCGTCTCCAAGGCAGATGACATATTCTTGAATACAAAGAGGCCAGGAGCGAGAATACATGATTTAAATCTAGCATAGGTTATTGCTCCTATGCCACAGATTAATCCAAGGTTGAAAATAACTCTGTTCGTTGCAGTATTGGGCCTTCAATGATTTCTCCAAATAACCGAGGAAGAGGGCGAGAGGGCACTTCCTGAACCATAGATTGGCTGTTCTTTTGAATCAGTGGTGAAAAATGTCTGGAAATTTCATTAGTGAACATCGTTGTAAGCAGTGGCGGACCTTATACAAGCCTGTGCCTCGTCGAGCGTACCAGGGCGCGGCGGTGGGATTCACATAGCAGAAGCTCTGTCACATTTTTGACGCTAGATTGCCTGGTAGTCAAATCCGTACCGTCTTGGAGTAGCTGCAGCTCTGTGTGTGTCGTCATACGCGACTCCAGAGGTTCACAGTATGGGGGCAGGGATTTCCATTGTCCGGCAATCCAATGCTCACGGTAGAGAGGACCGTATTTGATGGCAACAAAGACATAGCTAGCCATGGCAGGATGTAAGCCTATAATAACGAAGCAAAGACAGGCAGACGCAGTTCTTTGTGTGGACCGTCTGAGACATAGCCTCACCTACTATAAGTTCGGCATTGGCAAGAAATAATTTCCACTTTTTTGCCCGCGCAGGGAGGTGCGCCATGAGATTCCGTCTTTCGAGCTGCTAAACCTCATTCTACACAATGAACAGGGAAGACGAAGAACAATCATGAGAGTGTATCACGTCGTAGCAAAACTGTGCTCGTTTCTCGAAGCAATCATCACTATCATAATACCGGGCGTGTCGCTCGTGGGAGCCATCGACGTCCGAGAACTCGCAGGCTGACTCGTGAATATTCCCGGTGGCATGTGAAATTTCAGCCGCACTTTCATGAAGAGCAAATTTGCTCGCCCAACGAACTGCCACCTTAACCAGGCTTTTTCAAGCAACACTGTCACCCATACCATGAGTAATATCATTCGGGCACTCCGAATAGTTCTAGAAACCGGTCATACCTAGCACGGTATTTGATGTATTATCAGAAGATAACCGGCATGGCCATGACGGGACTTTGCTTGCTGATCCTGTTAGGTAGTATCCACAGGGAGCATATTCCAGGAGTGTCAACACCTTAACGATGCGCATATTTAGAGGACCTATCGCGACTAACTCAGTTCAAGCCGCAGCTTGTTATGAGAATAGAAGATGATAGAATGTATGAGTCCTTCTTATAGCTCACAGTCGGCGGAATTGCCAGGCTTAACCTACGTCGACCCACAAATGGCACCATGTGGTAGGGGCTGGCTTGCAAGTATCAGTAGTCACCCTGCAATAATTCTTGGTACAGTCACTTGTAATTGAACTATGTCGCCATCTGCGAATCTTATATCCGACTCGCCTTTATCTTCCCCCAGCGAGCTACGGTCGTCAAGCTGTGATTATTGATAGTCGCATCATACGCAATCATTATCACCAATAGGGGGTGATAGGCAGTACTACAATTTCGTATGGATGTCTTTCTGTTATATGACGCCCGAGTCTCCGTTCGTTGCGCGGTACAATAGGTATTCAAAAAGCCTTCAAAGATACCGGACTTCCCCCAACGACTTTTGGGAAGTTTTTAACCGGCCTCTATAAGTACATGGATGAAACCGTCAAATGAGCGCCTTCCCAGGTCTATCTAGAGCAAAAAGCTTGGCATGAGCGGATACCAGTGTTGAGGGAGTCTGGCTGGCGTGGTACAGTCGGTCTCGAAATCCCCCTGACCTTCAAACACATGATGATTGTTTTCTCGTCCCACTGCCAAGGATATAGTAGGGGAGTTATAGAGAGCAATCCGCTTGCAAATGATGGTGGCCTCCAATACAGATCGCATTGTAGCGAATATTGCTCAAATAATATGCTCGCGCTAAGCCCTTGTCAGTGGGGCTGGAAAACAATTGTCATGTGTTTGAAGGTCAGAGGAGTTTCGAGACCGACTGTAGGACCTATCTAATATCGATGACTAACTTATGAGGTTACTAACTAGGCGGAAAGAGTGAAAGCGTATATGGCCGTTTCCGGCTTGGCTTTATTTCATATTTTAACAGCAACTACGAAGGAAAAAAGTACCTCACATAAGTTCCTGTATCCTGCCAACGTGTCTGCACAGATATCACAATTCAAAGGTCCCCGAGAGCAACACGACCGTTGCGAGTATAGGTACTATCTACTAAATGGCCAATCACATGTGGGACCCCAAGCGGCAGCAAGGAATATGGCAACCAACAAAAACAGTGCCAGCATATCTCCCGCGATCGTTTTCTCTTTCATTTCGGAGCAGGTGTGACATTGATGTCGCGGGGAGCCAAACGGGTTGATTATTTCGTTGGTGTTCAGCCGGGGGTCGCCCGCGAGAGAGTAGTATATCGGCCTGTCTCTGTTCTCTTTTGCAAACCAGAGAGCAGTCTGACCGTGATTGTCCTTCATATTGACATCTAGTTCACGATGTCGCAGGAGCAGCTTGACAATTGGCAAATGTCCTTTATATGCCGCTATGTGAAGTGCGGACATACCGTCGTTGTCTTGCGCATTGATATCGACCCTACCTCGTCGCAGGAGTAGCTCCACAACTCGCAAACGTCCTTCATCTATCGCTTCATGAAGCGCGGTGCACCCGTAATTGTCCTTCTTATTGACATCGGTTTCACGATGTTGCAGCAGCAGCTCGACAATTGGCAAACGTCCATTATATACTGCTTTATGAAGAGCGGTTGACCCGTGTTTGTCCTGCGCATTTACATTGATTCCAGGAAGTTGCAGAAGCAGCTCCACAACTGGCAAGTGTCCTTTCCCTGCTGCTATGTGAAGTGCGAGGAACTTGTCGGTGTCTTGGGATGCAGCATCTGCTCCGGACGCAAGCAGCTTGCTGACAGCACTGCAAGGGCACTTGTAGGCTGCCCACATAAGGGGCGTATATCCTGGTCCGGCATTAAGGTCGGCATCATGGTCTTGAGAGAGCTGTGTGGCGGATGCCTGATAGTCTTCGCAAGTAGCTAGGTGCGAGCATACATCAGTTGTAAAAGAAGTCCGCGTAGGATCGTGGTCGCAGTGTTCTTGGCCCATATTGGTAGCTGCAATCATGTAAATGAAGAAAAAAAGTCCCTTACCCAACTCTTACGATCACGCATATGAAGCGACGAGGTTGTCGTGTTTTATATCTACTGATATTCTTATTCTGTTTCTGATGACGTCGCTCTTCATTACTCGGGTTTTCCTCAGCGGTATAGCACGACTGGACCAAAATTCTTGATAGCCATCTCCAGTCACCCAGAATGGGCACTCGCTTCAGGATGGCGGACAACGCTCCTCGGAACATTTGCTGGGCTCCCGAGAAATAGTTTGGCAGTCCTCGGAACACGGTCTCTCCCACGTTTTACGTTGTGTATCGGGAGAGGCCATTTGCTTAAGATCTTCGCCGCCACTGGGCTGAAATAAGATGTGGCGTCTCTGTCAGACTCTCCTGCATACAAAGGTTCCCTGCGCAGTTTGAATCGCTTCGGGTTACCTTGAACACTTTCCCTATCCGCCAAAGGAACTCATACACACTTACGTACCACGCCTACACAAGTTTCTGCACCCAACTTTCAATTGAATCATGCCACTAACCCTTCCCAGCAACTTTCTCTTATGCATTGCTCAGAACTTCGACCTGTCCCGCGACATCTTGTTGTTTGTCCGAGCCCCAAACGAACGTCTCGCCTGCTGCTCCCGGTTCTCTAGGACGCCAATATTGATAAGCAACACAGCCCAGCATGATGCTGAGCGACCCAGCATGGTGGCCCGCTGTTGACGGAACAACTTGTCCGGTAGCACAGTACTATGGCAATGTTAACGCTGTCCTTGACGGCAACACTCCGCTTCTCTATGCCGTCTCGAACGGCTCAGCCGCAGTCGTCAATGTTCTCGCCAGCCAGCTGATTTGTATCAACTGGCGGAATGCAAAGAGCCAATGTGCCCTGTGGCATGCAGCAAGGTGCGGAATACTGATACTGTTGAGCGATTATTGCAGCCAGGCCACATTCAAGTCAATATCGCCGATCGATCGTGGGGACAAATCCGCTGGGGACAGCTGCATTACAGGGACACGATGAGATTGTACAGTCCCTCTCGGACATTTGACAAATAAAAGTTAACATAAGGGGCCGGCGTGGCTGGACTCCAGTGTTTCATGCTCTTTTCTGTGCTATCTCCTATGGAGACCAGAGCATCTTGAAAAAGAATTTCTTACAGTACAAAGCAAAACACCGAGCTTTTACAACAGGATCAGACAGGGTCGCACACCACTTATATATGCTGCGCATCATAACGAAGCAAGCCTCACAGCGATGCTCATGCGCCATCTGAGATCCGGCACCGAGCTCCGGGACCTCCAGGCTCGGACAGCTTTGGGGGGTCGGTGAATGGGGCCAGATGAATTACAGAGCTTTCTGCGGCTACGGAGACGTGAAGAGCAAGATCCACTGATGAACCACGGCGTCCTTGTACAAGCTGCTTCATAGTATCCCCTACCTATGCCGGACCGTGAGATAACCTCTGTAGGGATGGGTCTGTGTCCACAATCATAAACCCACTGATGGTATCCAGAAGATGAACTACCCATCCTCGAACTACACTGGATGAGATAAGAGGACGCGAAATCTGGGCAGTTGGCTTTACGGGCTTGCCCTCCTTGTGTTCGCGAAACTGGAAAATACAAGGACGCCAGAACTAGAAGAACCCCGGCCCGCAAACAGTCCGTTTCGATACAACAGGATCACTCGCTATAAGCATGACATCGGCCTTAAAATCCCCTACGCAACACAAATGTGGAGCTTTGGCGAGGCGATTTCGTTTGCGCGATATTGCAAGGTTTTTATAGACAAAGGTTGTAGTCAGGATGTGATGCCCTCGCAGATGCGCAACCTACACCGTCTATCAATCTGAAAGGATACAGTATCAGAATCTGTTGGGTGAGATGCGATCAGTATTTTCATACTTTTTGCACTGTGGTCAATTTGGTTGCCATCCCGACATCCCCATTTCTGTTATGGTTGCATGGAAATAACGTTTGTTGTTCGGGATGGAATGCTGCTGGCGGGTCAATTCTCATTGGCCATGTCCGCCCGGAAAGACTAACTGCCCAGCACGGCAATGCTCGACACACATCATTTGAAAGTGGAGGGAACGGAGCAAATTATCAACCCTGCTATGCTGATTTTGACGACTTATCCCTTAGAGTGGGCATTATGTCTTAAAATTTAGCGCGCTTATTGATTTTGTATGTGTCTCCTGGAGTTACCAAAAGCCGGTTGTGC